CCCAGCTAATTTTTTGACTTATTGTAGAGACGAGGTCTCGCCAAGTTGCTCAGGCTGGTCTCAAACCCCTGGACTCAGGCAATCCTCTCACCTTCACCTCCCAAAGTCCTGGGATTACAGGTGTGAATCATCGTGCCCAGCCTCTTTTTCTTTTTCTTTTTTTTAAGTGACAGGGTCTCACTCTGTTGCCGAGTCTAGAGTACAGTGGCATAATCACGGCTCACTGCAGCCTCAACCTTCTGGGCTCAAGCGATCCTCCCACTTCAGCCTCCCAAGTAGCTGGGACTACAGACTCGAACCACCACACCCGACTAATTTTTTTAGTTTTTGAGAAACAGGGTCTGGCTATGTTGCTCAGGCTGCTCACAAACTCCTGGCCTCAAGCAATCCTCCCTCCTCCCAAAGTGCTAGGATTACAGGCATGAGCCACCACATGCCTGGCCAGGATAGTACTATCTTCATCACCCTTCCACAGCTAAGGAAACTGAGAAGTTAAGTACAATATTAGGTCACTAGCCCTGCCATTGGTAAGTGGCAGGGCTAGGATTTGGACCCGGGCAGTCACATCAGTGGCCACACTCTGAATCAATCCTCGGTCACTGCTCCTTCTCTGTCGCCGTGAAACGTAGGAGGCAGCGGGTTTTGTTAGCTGAATGTCACATCGCTTGGGCTCCCAGCACATAGCTGGCTTGGGACGAACCACCCATTCTCCCAAGACCTCAGAATAGCAAGGTCGTGAGTCACGGCCCTCGCTCTCCTACACATTCACTTTCCCACTTGAGTGGGCATCACACCGGTCGATCAGTCTCCCCTCTAAGCCTCGCGAGGTTGTACTCATCGGCTCGTGTCCAGACCTGCCTGTGGCTTTTCCACGGGCCCCCCCACTGGGTCTGATTCTGACGTTTCCAAGAAGCTGGCCTGAAACTCCCCTCCCACACTCCCAAGGTGACCCCACCTACCCTCCCTGGCATAAATTCTCACTCTTCCTCTCCGTTTACAGTACAAGGAAGTATTCTTGAGAGACAGAGGAGCCAGGCAAAGGGCTTTAAACTGAAATGGAAGCGGAAGGGACCGGTGGCTCATGCAATCCCAGCACTGTAGGAGGCCAAGCCGGGAGGGGTCTCTTAAGCCCATAAGTTCGAGACCAGCCTGGGCAACCCAGAAACATATTGTCTCTGTTAAAAAAAATCAAAAACTTAGCCAGGCAAAAGGACCACTTGAGCTCAAGAGGCCGAGGCTGTGGAGTGGTGGTCCTACTGCACTCCAGCCTGGGCAACAAAGTGAGACCACCACAAAAAAAAAAAAAAAAGGAACTGAAGGAAATGGCTTCTAGCACTTCCTTTAAATAATCATGTGTTAGCTGGGCTCGGGGGCTCAGCCTGTCATCCCAGCCCTTTGGGAGGTCAAGGTGAGTGGATTGCCTGAGCCTGAGGGTTCGAGACCCACCCGGGCGACTTGACGAGACCTCATCTCTATAATAAATCAAAAATTAGCTGGGCGTGGTGTATCATGTGCCTGTAGTTCCAGCTACTTGGAAGGTGAAGCGGAAGGATCGCGGGATCCCAGCAGGTTGAGGCTGCGGTGGCCAGGAACGTGCCACTGCACTCCAGCCTGGATGACAGAGTGAGACTCCAACTCAAAAAAAAAAAAAAAAAATCATGTGTTGGCGCCAGTCCATCATTGGCTACACAGTTTCTCTAACATTGCAATGATCCTTCAAGGTCAACATTGTCATACTATTCTACAGCCTGGAAAACTGAGAGAAGTTAGTTAACCTGCCTGAGATCACACACCAGGTAGGAAGCAGAACCAGATTGTGAACTCACATCTCTCGGGCACCAGAACCCGGGTGTATGTTTGCCACCACGGTGCAGTGCCTCAGTGGATGCTGTAGGAAACGCTGGATAAAGATGATTTGTATCTTTGAAGAGTCAGGTCTTTGATCTTTATTAGGATATGGCAGGGTTTGAATAAATATACTTCTGGGAGAGCGGTGGCTCACGCCTGTCATCCCAGCACTTTGGGAGGCAGAGGCGAGAAGATGACCGGAGCTCAGGGGTTCAAGACCAGCCTGAGCAACATGGCGAGACCTCATCTCTACAATAAATCAAAAAATCAGCCGGGCGTGGTGGCACATGGCTGTGGTCCCAGCTACCTGGAAGGCTGAGGCAGAAGGATCACCTGAGCCCAGCAAGTCAAAGCTGCGGTGGCCGTGAGCGTGCCGCTGCACTCCAGCCTGGACAACAGAGTGAGACTCTGACTCAAAAAAAAAAAAAAAGAAGATGCATACATACGTGTAACATGTGGAGGGGAGCTTGGCATCTTGGGCCATGTCCACAGGGAAGCCATGGTCCAGTTTCAGGGCATTCTGCAAATCGCTAAGATCATTTGTTCGAGTACACAAAAAGATGACCTCTGAGTCTTTTGGGGAAAGAGCTTATTGTTCTCACCAGATTCTCAAATGAGTTAGTGATCTTGGAAAAGGTTAGGTTAGGAATTCCTGCACTCAACAAGCATGAGGCCAGGCATGGTGGCTCATGCCTGTAATCCCAGGACTTTGGGAGGCTGAGGCGGGAGGATCTCCTGAGCCCAGGATTTCAAGGCCGTCAGGGCAACATAGCAAGATCCCATCTTAAAAAAGAATAACAATTTTTAATAAAACAAAAATGAAATGGTACCAGCAATCTCCATCCACCTCACACTACCCCCACGGCCATAACCAGGGCTTGGTCAGTGGAGAACTGAGTCATGAAGTGAGAGAAGATAGGTAATTCCAAGAAGTCTCCAAGAGGGAGAAGGCAGAAAATAATTTATAGAAACTGGGCACCAGGGCTTAGAATAGGATTTGGGGCACTGCAGGATGGCATGGAAACAAAATTCCAGCCTCTAAGTCCCCAAGACTCCAAGCAGGGATAGGGCTCCAGGGAGGCTGCAGAAAAAGCCACCACTTGTTAACTTGAAACGAGTCCCAAGCCCGGTTGGTGACCTAGCAAACAAGAGTACAAGGAAGATATGCATGTGACTCTCCTGATGTCAAGTCTGGTACTTCTGACCCTCTCTGTCCCCAGGAGAGACAGGATTGTTCCAGAGTTAGCAGCTGGAGAGTGTGAAAAGATTCACTTGTTCATTCATTCACTCACAAACACTTATTAAGCACCCACTATGTGCCAGTAACAGGAAACAAGAGTGTAGGATCGCTTCAGGTCTAAAAAAAGTTCCACAAATGTAGCTTATAGGCTACTGAATGGAGGAACCAAATAAATACACACACACACACACACACACACACACACACACACACACACACACACACACACGTTTTGTTTTAAGTCAGGGTCACAGTTCACCACAGCCATGACCTCTACCTCAGCTCCCGAGTAGCTGGGACTACGGGTGGTCACCACCACGCCTGGCTTATTATTTATTCATTCATTTATTCATTTATTCATTGGGTGGCATGCTCATGGCTACCACAGCCTCGACCTGCTGGGCTCAGACGATCCTTTCACCTCAGCCTTCCAAGTAACTGGAACTACAGGCACACACAAACACACCCAGCTAATTTTTTTATTTATTGTGGAGACGAAGTCTCTCTAAGTTGCCCAGGCTGGTCCCGAACCCCTGGGCTCAGGCAATCCTCTTGCCTCTGCCTCCCAAAGAGCTGGGATTACAGGACTGAGACACCGCGCCCGGCTTATTTATTTATAATTGTTGTAGAGATGAGGTCTTGCTGTTTTGCCTAGCCTGGTTTTGAACTACTGGGCTCAAGCGATCCTCCCATCTCAGCCTCCAAAAGTGCTGGCATTACAGGTCACCGCACTCGGCCCAAACAAGTATTTATATTTGTCTCCACCAAATAGCAAAAAGCCACACCATGCCCTTGTCTGCTTCATTCTCATCAGCTCCCTCCTGTAAGAGGGGGATGCTTAGGCCAAGGGACCACCCAGCACAGCCCAGAGAAATGGCTCGCCAGTGAGTCCTTCCGCAAGCTTTAACGGGTTCCACCATCCTTCCATCCAGCCAATACTTTGCTTGCCAGGATGGATCTGGGCATCACGGGAGCCCCAGAAATATCCAAGATGTGATTTCTGCTCGCAGGTGCTCTAGTGGGTAGGTAGATGTGGCCAGAGGTGACTGATATGGAAAGGACTTCAGCTGCCATCAGAGAGATGCGGAGGCAAATGCAAATCCAGAGGACAGAAAGGTGACATCAGGTTGTGTGTGCAGGTAATGCCTCGCAGGGGACCAGAGGCTGAGCTGGGAAGAAAAGCTCGCTCCAGGTAGAGGCGATAGGGTGGGCGGGTCGGAGACACTGCATGGCCCAGTCGGCTGGAATCAAGGGTTATGGAGGGGGTCAGGGGCAATTGGGCTGCATGGGAAGGTTATGGTCACCCCGTGAGGCCTTGAATACCAGACTAAGCTCCATCAGGCCGCTGTGAACACTTAAGGGAAAAGGGTATTAGAAACTGGATTTTTTTTCTGAGTTGGAGTCTTACTCTGTCACTCAGGCTGGAGTGCAGTGGCACAACCACGGCTCACCGCAGCTTCAAACTCCAGGGCTCAGGCGATCCTCTTATCTCAACCTCCCAAGTAGCTGGGACTACAGGTGTACACCACCATGCCCGGCTATTTTTTTTTTTTTAATTTTGTACAGAAGAGGTCTCACTATGTTGCCCAGTCTGGTCTCAAAATCCAGGACTCAAGAGATCCTCCTGCCTCGGCCTCCCAAAGTGCTGGGATTACAGCACTGAGCCACGGTGCTGGGACCAGAAACTGGATTTTATAACTTCAAAAAGTTCTTCATCCAGTGAGGGAAACCAAGTTGCCCACAGCTGTCCCAATGTATGTTCCCGAACACGTGATTCAGTTGTGCGTTAGGGGAGTGAACGGTTCAGTCCAAGTAGACACCAGCTGACCACAGACCAGGTGGAGTCATTCGAGTGGAATATTCCAGCAGTTCCCGGCACTTGGTGCAGGATGCTGATAGGAAGGGCACTGCCTTTTAGAGAGCATGACTGCATTTGGGCATTGCCAAGTCCTTGGCTTGTGCCATTTCGTGAAGTCCTATGAGGTGGGCACTGTTGCTATCTTCCATGGCCGGTAAGCAAAGATAGCTCAGAATGGTTTGGTAACCTGCCCAAGATCACAGAGCTAGGAAGAAGCCCTCTCACCAGGTCTGGACTGACGCCTGAGCCCATGCACATAACCACTGCATCTTCCTCTCTCCATAGCTATAAGGAAAAATTTGAGCAGCTGGCATTGGGTTCTACCCTCCTGGAGAAATCCAGCTCAATCTCTTCCAAGAAGGAGGTTCTGATTTTTTCTTTTTTTGAGATAGAGTGTCACTCTGTCACCCAGGCTGGAGTACAGTGGTGCGATCACAGCTCGCTGCAGCCTCAACGTCCTGGGCTCAAGTGATCCTCCTGCCTCAGCCTCCTGAGTAGCTGGGACTACAAGTGCATGCCACTATATCTGGTTAATTTTTTTTTTTAGATAAGTTTTCTCTGTGTTGCCCAGGCTGCTCTTGAACTCCTGACCTGAAGCAATCCTTCCACTTCAGCCTCCCAAAGTGTGAGATTACAGGTGTGAGTCACTGCCAATCCAAGGCTCTGATTTTTATCAAAATATGTACATAGCACATTTAATTGGAAATTTATAAATCTCACACATAAACAGGGCAGGTAAAAAAAAAGAGATACATTTTTTTTCTTATAAGCAGCCACAGAGTCACACATTTATATTATTCAATTATTTCATTCTACCCCTTTTATTTTATTTTATTTTTTTGGTCCAAGTTGCAGGTGCCAGACATCAGGTTAAATTACAGGAAACTCTCTC